CCCCAAAACCCCAAAACCCCTAAATTCAAAATAAATGAATTTAATAATTGTTTAAAGCAAAATAAAATCTCAATTTTCTCTTATATTTACATAATCATTATATTTCATTAAAATATTCCTGTTTATACAATTGACCGCTTTCATGATTTATCAGAAAAAATCTCATCATTCTAAAATTTCTCCTAATCAATAATATCTATCTATACTGGAATTGTTCTTTTTAGCCCATGATTCAGCTTCATGTCAACAAATTAAGCATCATCAGTTTTCAAATTTTCATCCTCACTCTTATTTTCCTCTTATTAAGACTTGAATAGATGTATCATAAAGCTATTTACTTAAGCATGATCTGATGTGCAACCAATCGATTTCGATATTTCCTTAACTTTTTCGTAATTCTATTGCCTAAGGACTTCTTATTAGCTCATTGAAGATTTATATTTATTTTTATCTATTTACTTCTTTACTTAATTATCACTGATTATGATTTTTTTACAATTATTCTCCTTTTTTGATTCCTTTTAGAGATATTAATCTTAATATTTTTTCTCATCTTCTAGCGTATCATTATTATGTTGTAATTAAAGAAGAGTTTTTTTAGAAGGGCTATTTACCTTTTTCATTATTGACTTTAAATTACTTTGAACACTTATAAAACTATTCATTTTTTTGTTTTCTTATAAATGTTTTCTAGCAGATTCTGACTATACACTTTCATTTCCAAGCATTAATGTTGCAGTAATGCTACTTTTATCAGTAGTTTATAATTTTTTAATTTGTAGAGAATTTTCAGGCTTTTATGATTTGCCAAATTTCTAAATATTTTTCGAGTTTCTTTTTGCAATGGTAGATTTATCAGTCTTGAAAATACTTGTATCTTCATATAAATGAGAATTAGATTTCGTAAAAATTGTTTTTCTAACTTTTGCACTGATATTGATCTTCTATTCATTATTATAGTATATTGAATTTGCTCTAGCTTTACACTATCTCATTTTCTAGGATTTTTAATTGGAACATTAGCTGTATGCCCTTGAATCTAAAACACTTGAAGTATAGTTATCAGCTTATTTGTTTTTGTTTTTATTAAAATCAATTTCTTAAAAACTTTAATCGCCTCTTGTACTTTATCTATAAATTTCTTCATCTTCTTGTAAGATTTTAGATAAAACGAAAGGAGCCAATATCTAAGATACTCTTTAGAAAAAGTGGTACTTAACATTAGTAACAATGCAATAAATGCATAGAGCAATAAACCATCCATTAGCAAGGACTATGATTATGAATACAACAAGCTAAATACTATCTGATATTTCATCACTTATAAAGAATAAAGCGCCGAAGAATGTTATTATTTGAATCATCATCTCCCTTTCTTCTAAATTATTGAACAAAGGATTTTTATAGGGTTTTAGATTTTTTTGAATTCTCTTGAATCCTGTTAAAACTATCAAACTCAATAAGGCTTTGAATGTGTTTGAATACAAATTTAGGAAGACATTAATGCATACTAGAAAAGTTTTCCTTAAAATATTTGCAAATTCCCAATAGTAGCATTCTTTCTTCAATCCTTAGTATAGCATCCTATATTTTCCAAAGAATTCATCTGTTTATAATTTCTGTCTGTTTTTTCTAATATGAATGAAAGTTAAGATTGGACTTCCTATTGTCCATACTAAAATTGAAATTAAGCCAAGACCCAAACACCATGAAAGATGCGGGCCTGTCCAACATTTAATTTCCAAATCTGCTTAAAGCCAGTATTCACCTTCATCTAATTGCATACAGAAATATAAACTGCTACTAACTCTAGTTAATGTAGGGTGCAATGAATATATAATTACCACAACAGTAACTGCAATTTGTTTTCTAAAAGTATGGATGCTCAATTTTTTCACAAATTTTATGATAAGTAGTATTAATGTCAAAGTTATAATCATTAATATTGGTAAAATAGTGATGGCAAAAACTTTGAAATAGTAAGATGATTGATCCCTGTTTATGAATCCTGTATCTTTTAGAAAGCAATCAAAGGAGACATAACTTTCTGCTATTTCTCCTACAGATGAAAATACCCCAAAGAAATAGCCAAGATATTAAGGCCATTCCAAGTTAAATGCTGCAGCAGAAGTTAGTATTTAAACATAATTTAGAATAATCCTCAGTATGATGCTTGTATCACTCTCTTGTTAATTTTTTAGATTAAACCATAAAAGAATACAAAAACCAACAAGTAATGCAAGAAATACTCCAGAAATAATTAGGATATTTATAGTTTTTGAGGGACACAATCCACATTCTTTCTTTGAGATTTTTGTAAATCGAAGACCATCCACATTCACGCAAGAATTACAAAGATTTCCACCGTATCCATAAGCACAGAATTATAATTTCGGATTATTTTCAGATTTTAGTAGATACTCACCTCCTAGACAAGCATCCTTATTGATGCATTCTATGATGTTTACTGATTAATTAGATGATCTCCAGTAGCCCTTATCTAATTCTAAAGATCAGCCTCCATGACATTCTGCATTTTTAACACATTCAAAGCATTAATTTATTGAAGGATCAATTGAGAAGTATCCAGTCCCGCAAGTCATACATCTGATAAGTTTAAATCAATTAATTAACTTACTAATCATTCTAGTTTATTTCTCCTTCGATGCAATTTCTAAAATCAAAATATATGAACTCTTGATTTATTTCATCTGGGTTATAGCCAACTGACTCACTAAATGCTTTCTTTATATATTCAACATTAATGCTAGTGGATTGAATCAGAAACGACACATTATGTTTTCCTGGAACCCCCTGAATTTGCAAATCTTTGAAGATTGCTATTCCATTAGTGACTTGAAGTTAAGATTATCCATTAACTTTGCTTAATCCATCAACATTTAGGATTTTAATATTTCTAAACAATAATTCAATTCTAATATTTACGAAGAGTTATCAGTTGTGATTATGTTAGAATCTGCGTCCACAATTGCAACTTTAATTGTTCCACTGTACTGCTGTCCGCTAGCAAGAGGATATTAGGTATAAGATAAAACTTTGACATTAAATGGGTATCCAGCTATATCATTTCCATACTTAGCTTAATTAAACTCATCGAAATAATTTCCAGCAATCATCACAGGTCTATTTTTATTATAAGCTATTGCTCCACCTCTTTCTATAGCTAGATTTGATAAAAATCTGTTATTATCAACTAAAAAACTGCAGTTATAAGCTATTATTGATGTATTAAGATATTTTAAAATTACACTAAGAGCATTAAAGTGCCAGAGCTCCACCTTACTTTGCTTGATTTTCAGTAAAATTAGAGTTTATCAAAGATAAGATTGAATTGACTACAAGAATAGCTCCACCATTTTCAGTGATCAATCCTCTTGAAAAAGAGGAGTTAGTAATTGCAATGGCTCCATATTTAATAAATACTATTCTATTGTCTCTTTAACTCATTATCTTTTTATCAGTTATTAAAGTCAGTTCATTTTGATTAGTGACAAAATTAGAAGTGGTGAAAATAGATATTGAACTAATTATGGACAAAAGGTTGGTATTAAAATTCTAGAATGTAGTCAAAGTTAAATTAACTTGTAAACTCCTCTAGATTTCAATCAGCATTTGACCCTAACTTTGTATATTTATTACTGTTGAGTTATAGATAGTGAAATGAGCACTATCAACCTTAAAAAGTCTGTCTAGCTAATTGAAGTAATTGATGTTTTATATGTTGCTATTTTATATTGAAATATCTGTACTCGCACTGTTGATTAGCATTATGGTTGTGTTGGCTATTTAGGAATTGTTGATGAGTACATTAGATTAAAGATTTGATTCAATGAGATATTGTTTGTGGATTATTGATTATTCAGAGTAGTTGAAATCTGTAAAAGAACTATTTTGGATTATGAGTTAACTCTGAGATATGCTAATGAACGATCTATCGGAGCTTTCTATAGTGTTATCTTTAAATTAAGTGTTTATAATCTCTATCCCAGATATAAATGAGATAATAAAGTTCCTATAATTAGATTAAGCTTTTAAGAAAGAACTAACCTTGTATTAGCAATAACTGTGTTAGATATTCTCAGATTGGACTTGCTGATGCTAATCTAAATTTCATCTAAGTTATGCTGTTCAAGCATTTAAACTCTATCATTCTACCAGTTAATTTGATTATAAAAAATGTCGGAACCCCAAATAGTTTAGACCTCAGACTGTATATTTTTTAGAGAAACTGGATGATTTAGTTCTATGGTACAATTATCTAGGATTTATTAGTTATTAATAGCATCTAGAACAGATAAAATAGAATTTTTAATCCCGTGATTGTTTTTAATCAAAGTGTTCATGATAATTGATAATCCTTGATTTTCAATAACGCCTATGCTTCCAGAGTATGCAAGATTTTGCTCAAAAACTGACTAATCAATGCTAATCTTGCTCTCATAGTGAACAAAGAATATTCCACCATCAACAGCGAAATTATTTTTAAAAGTAGAATTCATAACTCTGATTTCAGCTTTTTAGTAATCACCCAGGAATATACTTCCTCTTGAGATAGATATTGTTTTCTCAAAATTTGATTGAGTAACAATGACTTTTGAATTAGATTTAAGTTTAACCAAGGCTTCAATTAGTGGGAAATTATTTGAGAAGTTACAATTATCTATTACTAATACTGAGGGAATATCAGTTCTCAAAGTTTCAACAGCCTGCAAAAGAATAATAGCTTAAAAATTGTGAATAAAGGTTGAATTCTATAATATCACAGCATTCTTTGAGTTTAAATTACTTTTAATTAGCTAACCTCCTGCTGAGAAATAATTGTTCACGAATGAACTATCTTCAATCTAAATCAAAGCATTATTCTCATTAATAAACCTTTCAAAAGATAAAAGTGACCCCTCATTTACAAATAAGTTATCTCTAAATATACAATTCTGAATCAAAAGCAAAAATAATTAGGATTTGTCAGTAATGCCAACATCTTTGAAGCCTCTGAAGCTGAAAAAGTTAATTTCACTTCCCTCGATTGTTATATTTTAGAGAAGACTGTTTTCTGAATTCTTATTCATTAAACTTATCTCATCTACTCTAAGTATTTAAGATCCCGTTTTTAAATTGTCTGAGTACTTAAAATTTCTAAATGTAGAATTGATAACCTAAAAACTTTGGCTCTTAATGTTTCTAAAGTAACTTGTCATTGAATTTAGTTCTATATAAGCTTTAAATTTATTGTAACATACTTTCATCTTGAAATACAGAATTTGTAACGATTACTTTCTTGATTAGTTGATCTTACTGAAACACTAAGCACATTGATAAAATGGTTAGAGATATTACTTTAATTTGAATAAACTGTGTTATTCATGAGAAACAAATTATTATAAGACTAGATTGCTGTCTATGGACTAGCAGCACTCTTGATCAAGCATTAAATATTGTTATTAGGATCCACTATATTTTGCCATAAACTCTTAAAATTGATTACATGTATTATTTATCATGACTATGTCATTCATTAAAGTCTTGTCAAAGCTCACAGGGCAGAGTAATATTCTGGACTAAGTTTAGCAATTAGTAAATCTGATCTTTTCAATATTCAAAGTTAATGAGCCAGATAAAACTAAGTGAAAAGCATTTTGAGGTCCTAGAGTGACATTGTTTTAAGTTATATTTCTAACGTTAGAATTAATAAAACTTCCTGTGCTGAATATAAAAAGAGTTATCTGCGAACTTAGATGCTCAATAGTTACATTTTCTAATATACATGCGATTTTTCTTTTTCCTAAATCAGATTTCTAATTGCATTAAATGCTGTATTGAAGTGAAGGATCTCTGATAATCGCATCAGAGGAAATGTAATTATTTGTAAACTAAATAGTCCTGGTCAAGTTATCTATATTGATTTAGCATAATGAAGTAGAATCTATCAATAGTTGCTGCTTATTTGCATCAGTATTAGAAGAATATGATCTGAAATTACTCTGATCTATAGTTATATTCTTCAAAGTAGATAAATAAATGTGAGGTAAAGCCACATCTAGGTACCTCTGTCCTTTCGTAGTTAGATTTTTGATAATTATATTTCCAGTTACTGAATTATTTGGTTTGAGAGTACAATCATCAACAATGATTATTCCTTCACTCATCCAATCTGTGATCATAGTTGTATTTATTAAATTCAAGTTTGCAGGACTCTAAGATCTTAAAATTTTACCATATAGATAAAATGTCACACCCTATATAGTTACTAGAGTGAAATTACAATAAAACTTATGTTTCTTGATTGGATATCCCATAAGTAAAGAAATCTCTTGCCTTCATTAATTATGGATAACTCATCTATTTAATAGATTAACAATATCTGATTACTTTTTATTTTCAAATTAATGAACGTAACTTGGCTTCTGATTATTGCAATTTCTGATTTCTTGCTGATTATCTACAAATCATATAAGCTCAGCATTTAAGAATTAACTTTGCTGGAAATGTTATAACTCTCTTCTATAATAGAAAATCAAGTAGATGATGATTTCAAAAAAACTTTATCGGATTTTATAAAAAGAGTCGCTTCAATACTCTAATTAGCTTGTTCTTAATAAATTTATTAAGAAAAAGGTTCATTTTCATTCTAATATGTCCTAAATAAATAAATAAAAGTCTGCTATGATTTACATTATTGTAATGTCAATGGCATTAAGAATAAGCAGTTGATTAAAAAGTGAATAAATATTGTCAGTTGACTTAGCCTTCAATAAAATCTAATAGCTTTAAGATTAAACAGGCAGATAATTGAATAATTCAACAAGAACCAAACTGATGGTTTTAAATGGATACTACCAGGTACCTAATTCTAAATAGGTAGAAGAATCAGGGTTAATGAAAATCTATCGCTCTAAAATATGTATTTTAAAACAATTTCAAGAAAAATGCTTACCTCTACAATATCTTAAGGAAGATTTTAGAGTAGGATGATATTGAATAAATACTTAATCTTCTTTTTCTGAATCACATGAGTCAAGACATTGAAATGTTCATAGACTTAAATATTTATTTTCAGGACATCTCAAACAAGTATTTTTGTCAGCGCAAAATGACATCCCAAGGTTACAATTACATTCTAAATGTTCTTAATCTTTAAGACTTTACCATTGCATTTTCCATTTTCATCCAGAAATTGCTCGACTGGACAGAATTCACATGAAGCATTCTGTGTTGGAAATAGTTAATTATTTATGCAATTTTCGCATGTTTGTGTACTATTGCATTTCCCACAATTAAGATAACAATCTAAACTGTCAATCAATTTAATATTTACTTTGGCAAGATTGAGTGGTAGTCTCATAAAATTAGTTTGGTCCACAAATCTAACTCTGAGTCGAATAAGTGAGGAGATTAAAAGCAAAAAATATTTGCAGAAATATCATCTCTAGTATATAAATATTTTACATGTTTAGAAAACTTTATCTAGGTTTTAAGTATAGATATTACATAAGAATTATTATTAAAGTATTTTAAGTTATTAATCTTAACTAGGTGAGAAATCATTTATTTTATCAAAGTAGGTAATGCTTTTCTAATTAATAATTTATCTGCTTATTTCCAGAAAATATAAATCTGCGGGGTTTTGGGGTTTTGGGG